GGGAGGCGCGAGCGGCCGCGCGGGGAGCGGGACACGGAGCCGCTCGGACCCCCTCGGGACACGGATGAAAAGGAGGGGGCACGAGGCGGTGCTGCCCTGCCGGCGCATGGCGCTGGTGACAAACCACAGGAAGCTCCAGCAATCATGTCTTGCTACTTGCAGGTGCGGGGTGCCCGCAAAAGGCACAAATCCGTTTTGCTGTGGTAAAAAATAGGCAACTTTCCCTCTGCTTCAGCCTCACGTGGCAAAGGGCATGTGTGTAAGTCTTAGAAACGCTTTGCCCCTTCCAAAGCCCCTCGTGGTGACCAGGTGCTCCCGGCGGAACAAGGAGCCTGTTTGGACTAAGGGGTGTGCATGGATCTGCCCTGGCCACTTCCATCTGCCAGGCAAAAATATCCCGTGGAAAATCCTGCCCGGTCTGGGGAAATTCCCGGTGCCTGTGCCGTGTCCCTGGGCATGTGACTAAATCAGAGTTTGGCCAGTCACTGCTCTCTGGGCCTAGAGAAAAGAAGGGGAAAGAAAGTGAAAATGAGAATGCGCTCCACAGCACACGAAGGCTGGTACCCAAAAACCAGTAGTCTAGGGTTTCTGGAGGGCGGCAGAAGTAGTAGATTCACCCTAAAACATTGGAAGAGCCACTATCCTGCCAGGCTTGGCCAGCTCTGCTCTTCCACAAGCAAATGATTAGATGCTTGGGTGTATTTTTTTCTGTGTTGTCACTAAATAATGGGAGTTTTCTCAGTGCTCCCTGAAGACTGCTGAAGTCTGGTAATGTGAGGTCTTGGTTGCAAACCCCCTTCGAGAGCTGTTCCTGCAAACTAGTACCTTGAAACACTTCAGGCCACTGTGATTGAGCCCCCAGGGGGACCCAAGACCCAGTTTTGGTGGCCAGAACTATGGTCCCTTCATCTGCTTAATATGAGAGACATCCATGGCCTCAATCAGAGCTGCAGCTGCATCTACCTTCCCTTCCCAGGGCATTGAACCTTTGGGAGCAGCCCTTCCCTGGAAATGCATTTACTTTAAAATACTTTAGCTTTCAATGTGGGGCAAAAAAAAAAAAAGAAATATCCCTACTGAGCTTGCCTGTCCAGAAGGTCACAAAAACCACCAGAAAAAGGTACTTTTTGAAGTTGTCTGCCCATTGTACTGCAGTGAAACACAGCAGCCTCACACCCTTCTGCCAGTGCCAAGGCAGGATGTTTATCCCCATCCACGTGCTGTGCTTCTGGAGACAGGAAATGCTACAATAGCACTGAAATCATCGCGGCTGCCCGGCCCCCGCACCGCTCCGGCGCTGGGAGAAGCTGGAGAGAGGCTCCAAGGGGAATCCCAGCCGTGCGGGGCCCAGCAACACATCCCGGTCCCTTTTCAGTGTCACAGCGCTTGGGACGAGGGACGGCTCCTCATTCTCTAGCCATGGGAAGGAAGCAGGGGCCGCGTCTCTGTATTTAGCATGGAAACATTTGCCGAGGAAATGGCAGGAGCTGCAGCGCGGCATTGCTTGCTGCAGCAAGAAGCGGTGGCCCGCGGGCAAGTCGGCTCTTGCATCAGATGCTCAGCTTCATTTTGAGACATGGGTTCCGGGTGCCCAACAGTGGGTTTTGTTGCTGAGCTGTGGACTCTGGTAGGGAAAATGAGGCCTGTGCTGAAGTTTGTGGTTGTGCTTTAAGTTTAGGATTTGGGAATCGTGGGAGGGGATCCAGCTGGCTCACCCGGCCCTCAGCTTCTCTCCATGATTTTAGATGAGCCCACAGTGACCAGGACACTGCAGCTCTTGTTCTGCAAACCCTCAAGCTCAGTCTAGTCCCAGGCTTTTTCTGAGCATCTTGGAGCTGCTTTCCTAGGTGAGATCTAACCCTCGGGTGAGGAGACGGCTGAGTTTTAGAAGCAGAGCCCTGCAGAAAGTTGCTGAATATCTTTCAATCCCAGGTAAATGCTCGCTTGGACCAGCCCACTCTGGATGTAGACACATGTAGGATGCACAGGACTGGGCTGCAGAGTCTCCGTTCAGGCCGGTGGAGGGGCCCTGGGAGAACTAGATCCGAACACATTTTCTCCCCAATATCCCAAGTAAGCGGCTGTTGGAGCTGCAGCTCCACTGCAGGAGCAGAGCTGCGACTCCTGCTCCCCCTCTTCTGCCGGTGGCCGCAGTGATCCTTGTTGGATCGCTTGCCTTGCAGGCACCGATGGATCGCGGCATCGGGACATCTCTCCAGGCCGCACGCACTTAGTAAGAGAGCTCAGGCCCCAGCTGGAGCCCAGCCCTGCTCCTTTGCCTTCGCTGGGAAGCAGCCCTCAATGTCACCCATGTCCTGCGTCCCGCGAGGAGCCTTCCGTACCTCCTGCTGCGGGGCAGAGCTCCGTGCACTGGACACCACCCCTTGAGCCCAAATGGGCTCTACTTTGCAGGAAAGGAGGAAAAACATCATGCTCAGAGAAGTGAAAGCTTGTGCGGCCTCCCCCACTGTTTTTAAACACAGCGTTTTCCAACTCAAGCAGTTTTGCAAAACCACGAGGTGCTTCCAAGTAGTATTTGCTTCATCCCTGGAGGAGCTGCTGAATACGGACAATCCCAAACAGCTGCTCCTCATTTCCTGCCTTTTCCTTTAACGTGAGAAAACGCTACCAAAAAGATCTTCTGGATTCCCTGGCTTTTACTGTATTCATGGTTTAATGTACAGCATAGGGTGAGGGAGTTTCCAAAATGAGAGGTCGCCTTTGACTCCAACAAGGGCTCTCCTGAGGCCGATGCTTGTGGCCTTGTGTGGGACGGCTGAGGTGGTTGGATCAGGAGCCTGGGGAGTCTCTCAGCTCTGGGCATGGGTGTCCTGCAAGGCCAGTGGTGGTAGCTGCAGGACAGCAGAATGGCAAACAAGAAGGGCCAAGGAACGTGCATTTCTAACATGGAAGCACCCTGAAAAAGGATCTGATCTTAGGGTCATTTGCTGCTTCGGACACAACTCTTCTTCTCCTTGCATATTGCTTTTGAACCAAGTTCAAGGTGCTTTCTACCTGGGTGGCTCAAGTCTCAGAGTCCTTTTCCAAGTGTTGCGGTTCGAGTCCGGAGTCGGTTATCCAGCCAAGAGGTTCCAGCCCCGAGCGTGACGGTGCTCAGCGCCTTAGGCGTGAGCTGTCTGCCCAGACGCCGTCAAGGCTGTCGCGGGCTGTGCACTGGGCAAACATCAATTCCAATGGCCTGTGCCCTGTTGCTTCTCCTTCTCCGTTTTCACCTTCGTAATAACCAAGAGGAGTCTCCTCTGGATTCAAGTCTTCCTAAGGAAGACTGGAGGTGAGTTGTGATGCGCTGGG